CATATTTGAGTTCATAATTTGCAGCAGATCCTACTTTAAATAATATAATATTATTTGAAAGCGTAAAACATTGTTTTGATAGTTTTTTGGACAAAAAAGTGAACCCTGTCGTACACCTTTGGAAGGCATCACTAAATAGTTCATAGCACAGGCCCTGGGGACCTTTTTCATTTTTCAAAAATATCTCATGGGTCGTGTCTTAGGGAGCTACAAATATAACCCAGTAATGGTTAAATTGCTTTGTGGGCAAAATTCTCTTGTTCCTGTAACAGGTCCTTTGGTATCAGTTTTATGACATGCGGTATGACATGGTATTTTGTAATAGATTGTACATATCCATAACGATTTTGTTTTGCTGACCGTGCTTTTTATGACTGGGGGAACCTTGCATGCGTTTTATTCTGCCTTCACACTTCACACATATGCTTTCATTGCAATCAAATGAAATGTCACAAACGTGTTAGTGTACAACTTTTTGCAGCACATGTTTCTTTTGCAGTCTTGCAGTGTCCTTAGGTTAATTGATGAAAACAAAATAATTGCAACCTTGAATATATTGATTACTGACATGTCCCGTTTAATTTCCATACATTATGCTATGTCTGTACTTGATTCTGCTATGAGTGCATCTACATCATATTTGCTATGCTTTAATATATCCATTTGTATCAAAGTCTTCAGTTAATCAGACCATTCCACCGTAACAGACTTAAGTATTTGTGTACATTCGTATTATCCATGAATTCTATGTTTTGTTTAAATTGAACAAAAATTGTTATTTTATTATAGCATGATTAAAAAAGCAAACGTCAAGATTTAAAAATCACACGAGCAAATATTAAAATGGTCATGGAATAGGAAAAAAGCATGTGTATGAATTAATCTCCAGTCTTGCTAAGTTTTCATGAACTTGTATGTGATGCTATTTTTCATCATTACAATGTAAAAGTACAATGAAGTCTTCGTAACAATCTGTGATAAAAAAAAATCAACGACATAAATTACCATTACAGACCGCATGTTAGCAAACAACGTATGTCTGACCGGGCGTATCGGAGTGGTGACAGCAGTTTGTCGGGAAACCCTATAAACCTAGGTACCGATTTATTGGATAATAAGTCGCCTATGGTACAATGGAATACCAAATTTATCCCGATGCAACTGCGAACACAACCCTCTAATCTAGCACCAACTCAGCTACAGAGAGTCAACACGACATTACTGGGTGATCCGAAAGGTGAGAGACCAATTTTCTATTTGAATATTGAAATAACTTATCGAATTGCAATTTGCATTTTATTTTCTGATTTAAAAAATAAATAAATGACATTGTAATCTTTAAGTAATAACATCATTTGAATAAGGTTAAGATCCAGTAACAAACACACTGCTAAATGAAAGGAATATACTAGCCACAAGTAGTATACAATATACTCGATAGTGCTTTGATATGGCGGGTATTTAAATTTGCGGTTCTGTTTCGGAGCAAAGTTGTGGATTTGAGTTTCTCAAAAAAGAAATGAAAAGATATGGTCCTTACTAACTGTATCAGCAGCGGTAATAAGTTCTCGGAGTTAATACTTTCCGGAGTTTTTCCAAGGCCGCAAATATAGCAATGACAACAGTCTTCATGATATATAACCACTATACGATGTATAGATGTTCTTCATTTTAACAATCTGTAAGACAAGACATACACATTTACTGAAAGACATACATTTGAGTTTTGTTCTTTATTTAATATTAAACGTAAATTAAAAAGTACACAGAACGCAATTAAAAAAATATTACCTATAATGGACCCTTTTTAAATTCCTAGTTTGTTAAAATAAATTGATTTCATTTAAAAGTCGCATATGGATACAGAAGATTACAAGAATTAAGCTGGAATTCATCACATTGATATGCGCCGAAAATTACACAATTCGTTCTGCAGGATAAGTTAAAATATGACTATTGGCTGGTAATGAAACATGACTACTGGCTGGTAAATAAACACGACTACTGGCTGGTAAATAAACCCGACTACCGTCTGGTAGTAAATAAACATGACTACTGGATGGTAAATAAACACGACTACTGGCTGATAATTAAACACGACTACTGGCTGGTAAATAAGCACGACTACTGGCTGATAATTAGAAACGACTACTGGCTGGGAAAAAAACATGACTACTGGCTGGGAAAAAAACACAACTACCGTCTGGTAGTAAATAAACATGACTACTGGCTGGTAAATAAACACGCCTACTGGCTGGTAAATAAACACAACTACTGGCTGGTAAATAAAGACGACTACTGTCTGGTAGTAAATAAACACGACTACTGGCTGGTAAATAAACACGACTACTGTCTGGTAAATAAGCACGACTACTGGCTGATAATTAGAAACGACTACTGGCTGGTAAATAAACACGCCTACTGGCTGGTAAATAAACACGACTACTGGATGGTAAATAAACACGACTACTGGCTGGTAAACATGGAATAAAGAGTTAAATAAATCTACGTATGTGTGTCGTTACAGAATGACTTAAGAAGTGTAAATGCAAATATTAGAAATCCATTCTGCGAACTTTGTTGAAATACTTATATCATTTCTTAAAGATATTGGTAAAAATTGTAAAAGATGACGGTGAGCTAGTGTATACGATATTTTAATGTTAATCAGTGTTTTGTTGTACACTAAACATTCGATCATTCAATGCTTTGTTGTACATTACACTTCATTCCTGTTAATGTTTGATGTAATCTATTGATAAATATTACCATAAAATAAAATGATGATATACCATTTTACCACGGTCAGATCGAATTGCATCAAAAGGTTTGTTTTACAAGCACTTTTTGGGTTTTATTAGAGCAATTTGCATGCTTGATTAAAACTAGAATAACGATTTTTCTAAACTTGTTTGGACTTAGTTTTATCCGTATCCGTTATGAGGTGTGAAGATTTTGCAAAATTATAAACGTCATTGCATACTTTTTGTTTGTTTGGTATTTTTGTTTTATTAGAGTTTTGTTCTGTTTTGTTTCCATTAGTGTTTCTGTTTTGTTATGTTTTTTGTTTTCAATAGTATTTGGTTTGTGTTGTAATGTCTTGTTTTCTTGTTTGGTTTTTAAACTCAATGTAGTGCATTAGTGGTTTCAGTGTCTGCTTCCTTAGGGATATTTTGTAAGCTTCTTTATTTTGAAAAAAACATCGTCTGTATTATCGTAGAATAGCCTCCTTGTGTTAAATGAATTCTTATTATGATAATTAAGTATATCAAAAACATCTCTGTTCTTGTTACTGTAGTAACACCTGTTTTTCCAACCACTGATTTGCGGGAGTTTTAATTCGCAAAACGAGACAAAAGTTAATGTGTCGTTTCTGAACTGTACTTCATTAAGTAAGAGTTTTCTCATTCGATGCACCTTCTGCCTGAAATGATATGAACTATAGTTATAGATAAGAGATAAATAGTAAATATGTTGATTTATCAATATTTAGTACATAGAATGTTGTAGACACTGAAATAATATTATTTTGTAGTCTAACACTAAACTCTTATTCTAGATCTTCTTCTTCAAAGGCCAGTGCATCAATGAAAAGCAGAGACAGTTTATCTTGTCCTTACTGTGCTTTGAATAGGAATAAACATTCACAAATTGGAATCTCCGGATTCGTAGATATTTTCCTGTATATTAATTATAATAAAGCGCCGATGTTAACTGGAATAAATTCAGGCATGATACTGGCCTTTCAAATCTTGACTTTCTGCATGTTCTATTCTGACATTACTTCTCATCACAGAATCACGCATGAAGACATTCTGTTTTGAAGAACACATGATTTGATTTTCATTAGTGTTAAAAGGGTCTCTTAGTTTTTTTAAAAGAAAACCACAAAAATACAGCACAACATTATTAAACGGCTAACCAAAAAGTCCTTACTGAAGTACATACATATGTTTTTCACATGCCGACAGTTTAATCGAAACAAGAAACTATGTTCACCATAGTGCCAAGGGTAAATCGTGTTTCACGGCGGAATGTCTTCAGTTTTATTTGATTTATTAATAATAACTTGTGTGTGAACTAAACTGGCTATTTTCGTGCCTTGGCTACAGGTATTCAATTTAAGCGTATTGAGGCGCTGACAAGAAGTCAGACTCTGGTGGACATGCGTCAACCATTGGGCGTGTCCCCTGGGAGCAATGCACACTCTCTGACTCTCGGGGAGCAAGCGGAGATGTACCCTATCTCCACTGTTCCCACACACAGAAGTTCGGCACGAGACAGGTTTGTATTTGTACAAGAACTTTATCTCATAGGTACCCGGGAGTGTGCCGTTTGTATTTGTAAAGGGGCAAGTTATTTTGAGAGATGCTTTATTTGCATAATAACAATACTTTTAGCCATTCCATTTTGACATTTTTTATCATTTTTATTGTTCAAGTAGCACGAAAAACCATAGAGTGAGATAAAGCTTGACTTGATGAAACTTTGAATATTTTTATTGAATCACGCAAATTGTATTTCCTCACATATTATTAGTATTAAACGAATGTCACATAATGACTCACGTTGACGTAGTAAAACTCACATTGTTAACAAATAAGAAGGTCAATGTGTCCTACTCAACTAAACTGCACCGAAGGTACAAATTATCAATCACTGGTCCTGTTCATGAAAATGATTGTGATGAAAGAGAACGTCTTGAAACAATCAATATATACCTGTTTATGTATCATTATCCATCTCCTATATAATATTACATCGAAGAAGACTTTTACTTATCCAAAATACTGAGATATTTATCTAACCAAGCAATTTTTATTATTGTTTTGTGTTATCGCTTTGGAGGAAAAACCTATTATGTTAGCATCACAGAAATATGTAATACGCTCGATTGAATAGGTTGAGAAGAATATCCTTGTTGACTTTGCATGATCCTTACAATCCAGGGAGGATATTTTGTTGCTATCAAATGTGAATGAACTTTTTGTTTTGATTTATCTATTTCAGTTGCTAGATATTCTTAATTATGGACAATTAGTTTAAATTAATTTCTAAATATTCTTCAATGTGGACAATTACACCAAAATAGTATATAATAGTATTATAAACCGTTAGGCCAAGATGCGCCTTGAGTAATGTTAGACCACCATTGCGAACAGTAAGACCAACATATGATTATGTTCAAGTATGCTTGAACCATGATGAAGCAGTTGACTGGGATATTACGCTATTCATAGTTCATCCTTATTATAAGTACAGTACTTTAAGCATGTATTGCCTTTGTATGAGAGAACATTTAAGTAACATTAAGAAACATAATACTTTACATTTCTTCAAAGGGCAATAATTATACATACACCACATCTAGAAATTGGAACGGAAGAACCCGTTGCCAGAATATATGATTCTTGTCTGCCGGTCGCTTTATGTGTTCAAACAAATCAGACGCACTGACATATATAGATGAGGTATATTTTTATTCATAATTGACCAATTGAACAGGGCACGACAAATCTCCACGTCAAAATAGTTACTATAATGGATAATTTAGCAATATTGGACCACCTGGCTAGGGCATTACGTTTTGTATGGTTTTAAATCTAATATCACAGTAATCATATATGGTTAGTTATGGAATATACAAATTGAACCATCTCTCTATTATTATTATATTACTGTTCATGTCATACTGAACAGCTAGACGCTGTTATTATAAGTATGACAGCCCGAATGGTATACAGGATAAGTGATATGGAAAAAACTTTCATTTCAGAGATTACATTTATAGCTAACAAGACATGTTCATAGATGGTAAGAATCCAGTAACACTTGACTGTATACATATTCTAGCTTCCTTTCCTGAAATGCCCTTCATCTGATATTGTATTGTACTTTCTTTTATTGTCATAATACATTAACCCACATGCACTGAACAAAAGACCAATATTTAATATTTCAGCCTTAAGTCAAACTCGGATTTGATTCCTATTTTAAACATTTTCCCCCTATTGATGTGGAAACTAAGAATGTTTTATTAATTACATGTTGTTATGGTTATATTAGCTCTAATTTCTTCTTTTCACAATATATCTTAAAAATCGTAATTTCTGCAATAAATCTACAGTTTGATGTAAAAAGGGTAAGACAGTTAGTTGTCCCACAGTGTAACTGATTTGGTCGCTCTACCACGTTGATTTCGCATGAAATATTAGCCCAATAATTCAATATTTATTTACAACTTTTTAATGCAGCAACACCGCCGTGCTTGTAATAAACACACTGTTTATGCCTGATTTTTTTTGTCATACTTTTCAGTCAGTAAATCAAAATAGTTTTCGTAATTTACGCTAGGTTGCCGTTTTACCATTTTGTCGCTAATGAACTTTTCCTATTTTGTTGAAATTCTTGAATTGCTTTGCATAATATTATGATGAATTGGTGATGGGAATGTTTATGCACGAATCAGGAAATATTCCAAGAAGGTAATGTTTATCAACGTGTGTTTGCTATTCTATAAGAATACTATATTGATGACATGTAGTATATGTCTGTCAAACAACAGAAAACATAAATACAATGTCCATATTTCAATGACTATTTCCTGGTTTTGTGTGATTAATTTGAAGAATTGTTGGTCACTTCCAGCTTGTTATGATGACTTCCGACGCTTTGTAACAAGTGAAGTTTTTATATTCTATTCTGCGAAGTTGCATTTTCATATACATGTATAATGCTGATATGTGGTTGATTTGCAAGATAATGCTAGTAAACATATATACATTTCCATGCGATCACGTGGATTATATACCATCAAACTATATGATATGACTTGAAAGTGAAATGCTAAATATGTATTGGTTAAATTATGTATTCTTGAGATGAAGTGAAAAAAACTAGAACCTAATAATTTATGCGGGCTTCGAAAAATAGCAGAACTGTGATAGCATGATTTAAGAACATACTTTGTCGTAAATAGTGTTTGACATGATATAATAGATGTTTTCTCATTTTCACGTTTTATGGATTTACCAACCTTTGTGTTTCATTTCATTTTTTCAATCTTTACCCCTTTTTGATATCGTGTAATGCATTTTGTCACAATTGGTGTTTCTAATGTTTACAAACATCGCAAGTGTCTAATTGGATGGCAACAATGCAATTAACGTGATAATCATCGAAGTCATAATGATTAGTGTTATTAATATAATTACAGAAACACGATTATAAAAGATGAATGAAGAAATCTTGACTTATTTTATAAATTGTCAAAGAGGGCAGTTTGACTCATCTGACTTATGGCAATGTATTGGCAAACGACTTCCAGATTGTGCTTGTTTAATTTGATTCCGTGTTGACACTTTATGCTGCCCTACACCACTTAATTGATATATTAATATGCACATGTTATTAAGACGATACTATTCTTCATACTAACATGGTTACGTTTTCGTTTGTTTGGATAATTTTCTTACAGACCAGTTCATTATTGAAACAATAATATTAAACAAATATGCAACATAGTTTGTACACTGTAATAATGATAAATGAAAAGGTACAAGTCTTGATAATTAACTACCAGTAATGCTAATCTTGTAATCATACACATACTCAAAGACTTACGCGCTGTACTCGAACGAAATTTATATATGGAACGCTATATATGTAAGTATGCACATACTATATAACACAGTATACCCATTTAAAATATATTAATTATGTTATTCTGGAAGGGTATTATAATGAAATGGACCACTTTCAAATTTAGTATCAACATTCTTTTGGGAAAACGACTGCACATTTTATGCTAGATTATTGCATTTATTTTATATTTTATCAGGGCTTCCACGGTTAGAAAAAATCCTCGAAGCCAACAGAGGTTAGCCAGATCGCCGTCAGCTCGTCATAAAGAGCCGGACTCGCTTCTCCTTCAACAGTCTTGGTCAAGCAGTGCTGCTATGGAGAGCGCCAGATGATGTATCTTTACAATACCAATGCCAATAATGCTGCAATGGAGAAGTTAGGAGGACACCCCTCTAAATATATTATTCCTGCAGTACTGCTCCACCAGCACTGTTCCAGTCATATAGTGAATCCCCAGCAGTACTATTCCAGCAGTGCTGCAGTAAAGACTGTCTACGTCGTACCTCTACCAGTACTATTCCAGCAGTGCTGCATTGAATACTGCCCATGTCGTACCTCCGCCAGTACTATTCCAGCAGTGATGCATTGAATACTGCCCATGTCGTACCTCCGCCAGTACTATTCCAGCAGTGCTGCGGTGAAGACCGCCTTATGTCGTTCCACCACAAGTACTGTTCCAACAATATGGCAATGGAGACTGCCTGGTGATGACGACGTTAACGCTACTTGTCTCTAACAATGTTTTTATGGAAATCGTAAGAACATGAACTTCAATAGAAATTACACAGAAGTGCAGTAATATAGATAGTGAGATGACGTCCACTAATGAATCAATTTAAGCTGTGTGATCAGTGCGCTGAATATGTTGCCTTGAAAAAGATATGATTTTCAGTTCAGATAAAATAATGACAATGCTTTTTATAATTTGATTGTAATATCATATAACCTATATATCATTCACTGTATTCGGTTTAGTTGCATTCAGCATTCAGTGTCATTTCCAATGGAATTCGATTTAACGGGTTCACTTTACTTTCCCTTTTCTTGCTAGAATAGAACTAAGCATATGTGAATTCTTCGAAAACCGAAGTAAAAAGAAAACATAATTTTCCAAAAATTTTCAGTTGGCAATTACATCAGTGTAGTATGCAAGAAACGCTATTTTTTTTATTTTTTTTGCATTATGTTAATTGTATATTCGTTTGTTTAGTGTGTCGAGTCATCCCCTGGACTGAAAATTTACTGATTTTATAGACAGAATATAAGTAACGGAATAAATTAAACGATGTCCATTTTCTGATACTTTACACGCACAGTAAGCTCAGTTTTATGTGTAATATATTTTATATGGGGAATATTACAACAAAACTTTACTTACCCCCGGCATAACTGTCACTCTAAAAGCGATAAGCTTTAAGGCCACAAAAAGTGACCAAACGCTCCAGTCTCTAGATCTGTTAATGGCGGTAAAGATAGGTTTCGGTCAATGTTTTATTGATAAGAACCTGTTTTGTGAACCACAAATTCTATCACCTAAATTTGGAATTGTTTAAGTGGATTTTAATATGCCTTATTGCTAAACATTATGCCTAGAAGGTTAAGCATTTGCAATATTGCTTCCATCTTTTGAGATATGGTTTCACAAGAAATCTTATCATGTTTAGACTAATATTTGTCGTAACATTGATTGACAACGAGCAATATGCAAACCCTTCTTCATTTCTAGATTCTCAGAAATCTCAGAATTTCATAGAAGATATACCAAAAACGCAGCAGATATCGATATTACTTCAAAAGAACGTGTTTAATTCTTTGACTGACGACAATGTTTTCCGAATGTTAAGGATTAAAGGGTATTTTGTCTTGCCGGTATACAATGCTTAAATATGCTAAAGGGCAATGTAATTTGTTGTAACTGAAACTCGTTAGATATAAAAGTAACATTTAAAGCAAACACACCACTGAAGAACAATAATGCCTTAGATATATTAGTTCATTTCGAGAAAAAATGTTTTCCGAATTAATATATGTATCATGTAAATATTGTCAATAACAATAGACTAGCGTGATTACCATTAATTGAATGCTTAACAAATATTTAGTGTCCCTTTGGACATGTGTTAAACACTTTCATTGATATACAGAGCACTTTGTATTACCTCCTTCTTAGTTAAGTATCATTCCAATTCAGTGTTAATTGTTGATATATTTAAACTGTCCTTGCAATGTTTAATGCGAAGTTTTTTTTAAAATCAGCATTAATCAACAATCTATCTCGTCTTATAAAAGCCATACAAGACTTGCATATTTTTGTGGCACAGTCTTGAATTCTAAGTGGCAAACTAATAGATATTTGCATTGCTGTCAATTTTGTTTCGGTGTATATGAAGTGGGTCTATTCTAGCTATTCATATTTATGTTATTATATTCAAACATATTCATTGTAATTGTCTATTCCTTTCAGAATTATGATCGAAAACTAATGGGGACAATTATATACATTTTTGGATTTCAAATATAATGAAATCGCTTATGAGCACGGCTTAGGCTAATATAATTAGTTGTATTACTATAAACAGAAGAAAAGGTATATGTTGGACCTATATATATATACATTGTTTTATGCTCAATCTAATTAAAACGTGGTGTCTATTTCAATATTTTCGTTATGCCCAAGATGTAGCTTTGATTAGACTGTTTTATGCTATAAATGACTGTGATGATAGACTGTTATTTTCATTATGTGTTTTTTAAGAACTATATATGCTTTTGACTGTGATAAATTTAAACTATTATATCAGATTAAGATAATTTAAATTCTAAAAAGCACCTATAATTAACTTTTATATAATGTATGGTAGGCAGCGGAGTAAAGATGGCAGATAAGGCAGTTCCTGTCAAACAGTGTTGTATTTAGAATCGAGTATGGATGGTTGGTTCGAAGTTTTGTTTCAAATCGCCTATTTGGGATGATCTGTTCTGTTTGCTTAAAGAATCTATCAGGAATCCCCATGAAAACTTACAATGGTTGCTTCTTGGTTTAGTTGGAGATCTCCCCGGGTCGTCTACTTTACAATTCGTTATTACTAATATATACTGGAATCCGACCAATAAATCACATTTGACAATAATATTCATGTCATACAAATGCGAAACATGTGAAGTGTTTAGTCAAATAACGACTGATTTTATTGATAATATTAGATATAATTGTTCAATCATAATGACAAATATATGTCCACTCGTTTTGTCGTTTTTAAATGTATTTTAAAGACAACCACATATCTTTCGAAACATCAGCTTTATATAGCGCATACATTATATTTTTCTGACCGTTCCCGCTAACAATGGAAATCTCGGACGTAAATATGTCCGTAATGTTCCATATTAGTAAATTGTCGAGACATTTCTTGTGGGGTGAAGTACAGCTGTTATGCTACTTTAATTCAAGAATGTTATTCTGTATTAAGACACACTGGACTAAACATTACCATGAACTCAAAATTGATTTTTATTTTTAAATTTTTAAAAACTGTGACATGCGCAGAAACGATATACTCTAGTAGTACTTGTAGTTAGTAAAATATTGCGTGTCGTAGCGCAAGAATAAAAACAATCATTTTTACTATATTTTCACTTTCACAGCATCAATTCACATTTAAGAGCGCTTCCTACGAACATTTTCATGAAAATTTGAAAGCATTGTTAATTTTGGATATTTTTTCCTAAAAGAGTGCTTTCATGCGAGTGTTACATACTATGTCACTTGATATATCTCGTATTGCTAATTACATTGTGTTATTGTCATATACTTGCAATATTATGTTACTCTTTGATAGAAGGTATCCGTGTGTATAATGGACGATTCCGAAAACTTCATATACTATGGCGTTATTTGGTTATGTGTCAGACTGATACCATTTTGGTTCTTTTCAAGTTTAACCGTCGCGATTCGGATGTTATCCTTGTGAATGAACGTCCGACTTGGGATGAGCTAACATATATATAACTTTCATCATTTTGTTGAAACCCACATGACAACTATTTTTCGTATTTAACTTTAAACAATAAAACCTAAATGACAGTTGTTTCCCTATATATAAGGTTATGCATTCCGATTATATTTATCTAAAATCTTTGCTGGGTACCAAAAACTGCGATATTTTCCCGCCAAATGTTGAAATAATGATTTCATCGTATGTATAAATGACTAAAATGCAATATTATCTTGACATGTTATAGGCTTGTACTTTAAAACGTGACGATTAAAACAATGTATGAAGAAGTGCTGTTTTTTTGTGGGTTTTTTTCTGGTAGTAAAGTAAGATACCAGACGATTTTGCCTACTATCAATAATTAAGATACATACATGGTATGCCTACTATTGATAATAAAGAGGGACCAATACTCCTTCGATCATTAGCTACAAGAACAATGGGATTGTTATCAATAGTATAAATTTAATAGCCGTGTGTTCCTACTATTAGTCTTCAAGATACAAGTATACTGTTCTAACTCCAATCGAAGTAAAAATGAATACTATGTGTGCTATCAGAGGTCAAAATATAAGAACACTGAACCTACTAACCACATTTAGAATTAAAAGAACAGTGCGCCTACTTTCAATAGTTAAAATAACATGAACAGAATAACTACCCATGGGGTAAGGAGGAATCCTGTCGATACGTGTAGACACAAGAGCAAAGGTCACTCGATAAAATAAGTAGCGAGGGTCAATGAATTTCACATGATGCCTTTCCATGGACTCTTCAATTAAGTTAAGCATATTAATAAGTACTTCCTTACTTCTTATTTCATGTGATTATTTTAGCGTCAATATGGACCGAGTCTCATTGACCAATAGTTTTTTTTTAACTCTGCTAATCCATGAGGGATGCAGGGGTAGTAGTTAGTTGAGATCAATGCTTGTTTTTCTCTCTCCGTCCGTCCTTAAAAATTCTTGTTAGCGCTATTTCTCATACAGTACTAGAGGGATCATTTTTCAAACTACATACGAAGATTTCCAATTGTCCCTAGTTATGAATGTCGAATTTTGGGACTGATCACAAAACCAAGATACATGTAGCTGACAGGCAGAAACCATTAATTTGATATTTAAAGTTTGTTAGCGCTATTTCTGAAAAAGTATTGGAGGGATCTTTTCCAAATTTCACATAAAGATTTCCGATGATCCATAGTTATGCATATCAAAATTTGGCACTGATCACAAAACCAAAATAGCCGACAGGCAGCCATCTTGAAGTTGAGAGTTAAAGTTTGCTAGCGCTATTTCTCAGGAAATACTGGAGGTATCTTTCTCAAATTTGATATGTAGGTTCCCCTTGGTCATTAGTTGTTCATGTTCACTTAAAGGACTAATCGGATTAATAAAATCCCGGATAGACGACCATCTTGGATTTTGACAGTGAATGTTTGTTATTGCTATTTCTCAGGAAATACTGGAATGATCTTTCTCGAATTGCAATGATCGGTTCTATTTCTTTCACATTTATGAAGTTTAGATCAAAATGTACCTCAAGGTACATTTACTGTTTACATGACTCGATCAAACAGATAAGACAAAAGAAGAGAAAAGATCGAACTGACATAGAACTAGTGCAAATGGAACAATAGTGGGCGCCAAGATCCCTCTGGGATCTCTTGTTTGATGTACTTGTTAACTGAAAGAATACTTAAGAATGCCATATATATCTTGTAAGATCATTTTAATTTCTGACAATGAGACCAGGATAAGTCGCACACGAGTACAAGTGATTACAGCTGGTACATATATGGGGTTTAGCGACTCCACACTGACAGCCGTTATTGGTACAGCAGGCACAGTCAAACCTAACCTTGTCATAGCCACATTGACAACCAGACCCTGTAGATGTGTAGTGGTTGATTTCTGCTAGGAAATAACGAAGGAAGAAGAATTTGAGACAAGCGTATCTTTAAGAAAACTGTTACTGGAATATCTCTCGAGACTAATAAAGGTGGCTGAAACTTATGAATTAATATAAGCTCTAAGTTTGTGTTGTCAGTTCCTCTGACATCATTCAAGGATTGACCTTCATTTTGACGGCATATACGGTAGCATGAACGCAGTTGGCATCAAACATTCTTTATGGAGCGCTAATAAAAACGCTAACGTCAATCCGCTGAGCCTTTTCATTGCTTATACTCTAAGTTATACGCAGTCAGGGTTTACCAAGCTGAAGAAGGGAGGGATGTTAATATTTACCTATGTATACGTACCTACAAATGTCTATGTATAAGAGGTACTAAGAAGAAAAATTAAGTATCAGAAACGTAAAAGCAACGTGGGCCTTTTCAGCTGATTATACTTTTTTAACTCACGACAAAGCTGAGGTCATGTGATGGCATACAGTTCTTAAAGGTACTAAAGACTATCGCACTATATTCTCCAAGTGCCTCTAACCATTGAAAGGAAAACAAGAGATGCATGGCATATATGATAATTTGTGATTATGCGAGAATATCAGTCACTGTCTGGAGTGCCTCTAAAAGGGGCATGTTTTTTTCTTATTTCCCCGACCATATAATTGACACCTTTCATAGTTTGTGTAAGCTTAAAAGAGGTCCAGTTCATGTTGATTCTCATCAATAAAGATTCCATATCTGATGGATTTTACTTTCTGTATTCATATATTCAGAACAAATAGTAATGAAAAACCTAATAAGAACTGTATATACGATAACTAGTCACTCACCTGCGACAACCGGACTCCTTGTCCATGAATAAGGGTTAGTCTGAGGATCACAATAGCCGCCGTCTGAGTTCTGTTCTCCGTTAAGTCGACACGCTCTGTCAATCAGACAAGTGTTGCCCTTGGTTGCAAAAAATAAGAAGAAAAAATACATCTTGTACCTATGTTTTCGTTCTGTTTACTGTAATGCATAGAATTCTCTACAAATGTCTTAAACCTTATTACACAAGCAGACATTTCTATGAACTGTTAAAAATGATTAACTTGTAAATGATACTTAATGAGTTCAAGGATGAAAAAACTTCTAAAATCCTTATCAATTTCGGGGTCTGGATACTAAATATTGTCGAATAATGCATTTAAGATAGTTAATGTCCTTTCGGGGTTTTCAAGCTGATGATCAATTCACTTCCTAAATAGCGTTGCGCATATTTCCTTTTTTACCTTCAAAGTACAGTTTCCAGATGTATCACAATTCTGACAAGAGCCGTCGTAGACAATAAATGTATGTTCTGAGCTAAACAATATCCCGTCAGTTGTCACGGACATAATAAAAGCATCAGTAGGGCTGTCTGTTAACAAGAATAAAACGACAAAAATCATAACAGTTGGGAAAACTGGTCATTTATTATTCATGAATGATGAATGTTTCAGTCCCCAAACGGTACTTACACTGTTGACTATATCCACAGCAATTCATAACTTTAAATGGAGTCTTGAAACAAAAAACCCAGAGGACTTCAGCAGAGCAACGATCGATCAGACAACCACAATAATACAATAACATATATAACCCAGATATATATCTGGGCGGATCATCTGTAACCAACTTCAGTGGATTATCTTTAATCAAGATAATCACAACGTAGCATCTATAATCCAGATAATTAGGGCGGATCATCTATAATCCAGATAACTACAGCGGTTCAACTATGATTCAGATAACTACAGCGGAGCATTCATAATCCAGATAACTACATCGGATCATCTATGATCCAGATAACTACAGCGGAGCATCTATAACCCAGATAACTACAGCGGTTCTTCTTTAATCCAGATAACTACAGCGGTTCAACTATGATCCAGATAACTAAAGCGGAGCATTCATAATCCAGATAACTACATCGGATCATCTATGATCCAGATGACTACAGCGGATCATCTATAATCCAGATAACTACAGAAGCAATGGTTATTACTCAGGCGTACCTAGAGTTACAGGCTGAATCCTTGATACAAGCTTCCCATGTTTATTACTCAGGCGTACCTAGAGTAACTGGTTGAATCCTTGATACAAGCTTGCAATGGTTATTACTCAGGCGTACCTAGAGTAACTAGTTGGATAGGTGATGCAAGCTTGTCATGTAATAACCTTAGGCGTACCTAGAGTAACTAGTTAGATACTCGATACAATCTTGCCATAATTATATATATGGCGTACCTAGAGTTACTGGTTGAATCCTTGATGCAAGGCTCCCATGGTTATTACTCAGGCGTACCTAGAGTAACTGGTTGAATCCTTGATGCAAGCTTGCCATGAAGTGATTTACCTTTCGTTAATACCACACTTTCAGGAAGGCTACACTCGACCTCCAGGAAACTGGTAAAGGAGGCTGGGACATCAATGTACGGACCGTATGGCGAAAGTCCGCTGTCACCAATCTGTCAAAAATGGACAAACGTTTGCATGCTCCAATTTTGATGCTCTAAATTTCGAACGCATTGCATGAATGTTCATTTCTAAAAACGATTTTCCTTATTTTATACCACAGAAAAAGCCATCCTGGACTTTAAACAAGATCCCACGACGTACGATTTGTATAAGTTCACCCGTATCAAAAAGACAAGTAAGCTTTTTTGCTATAGTGCAGCATTCATCTTTCGTTCGTTCTTCAGGCATGTAGCTTTAGCAGAAATGGAAAGGTAATTTTGACAATACTCCTAAAGAACAGGAAGAGGGAATTCGATGATGTATAAAGGAAGGGTGTGTCCCCCTTTCGGTGATGTATAAAGGAAGGGTGTGTCCCCCTTCGGCTAGAGCAGGGTATAAAAGGGGAAAAGGAATCAACCGTAAAAGACTGCTCCTAATGTACAGATGATAAACACGGGGAGGGAATTCATTGTTGTATAAGTTAATTGTACCCCTGGGGAAGAAGGGTAAGCTATTTTAATTTGTATAATGCCCTCATTGTACAGAACAGGACTTATTTTTTTCGACTGATTTGCAATCAAAAATTGCCAGCCTAGCCCTTAAATGAATGAACCATCATAATTGATGTCTTAAACAACAAAACAAAACAAACAAAAAGCGTGGTATAACGTTACTCTACCGGCCTACCAAGTGTATTATATTGTCAAATAGCAATCTGAGATGACTACTATATTTCAAGTAAGTACATTTTAATTTCCTTATGGCTTTGCGTTTGTTATGTATTCAATATTTATGTGGTGGTTTCATTACATTGCTTAGCAGTTTAAAGTCAAATTTTGTCATGAGACTTGGAGACAAGAAAATTCTACTATTCAATCTTACCTCAGATTTTTTGTAGCGACATTTGAGCTCTGGACCGGGTATCAGGTGCTCAGCAATCACCTGAACTTTCATGCATTTTCGGTCCCTGACGTCACATAGGCCATCACTAGATAAAACCAGGTACAGTGCAATTAACTTAACATTAAAAAACCCATCAATAACAACTTTCATGTATTATATAAAATATGTTTCCTACCGTCAAATTGTATCATTGTTCTTGAACTTTGTTATCTTTCTTTATTAAGACCGCCTAATTATTTTTGTATTTTCATGCAACAATAGAACCAAATGCTTCAACATATTAATTATAAATATTTACATTCTGTATGCTTAGACCCATTGACAAAAATTACATTCATAAATGCATAACACAGGTGTTCATAGAATCTCAGCACGTGGGAACTGATAGTAACCTGATCACACTGCGTAGTAATACACTACAAAAACTACTCACTCGGAACGNAAAATCTACAATAAGTGTGAAGATGTTCCTTGTTTTTTTGTGTTTTTTTTTTTTTTTATCTTACTTCTATGTTAACACCAACGTTTGCAATACGTTTCCCTTTATTATAGGGGTGTTAGGTAAAATCAGACTAGTGATGTACTGATAATAGTCAGGAAGACGTCTATCATGTGCATACAAATTGACCCAGACTGTATTATTCATGCATTTATGTTTGTGACATTTTTGTACAAAACCAAGCGTGTTATGACATAGATAAACCCTATTTGAATGTTACTACTGGATTTAAAAAAAAAAAAAACCCATTTCAGATAAGTTGAATTCTTTAGATTATGATATCCTTTTATAGACTTTGTCATTGTATACAATGTTTTGTTTTGATTGAATCTGCATGGTATAATACACACAACATATCTCAATAGTAAGCGTAGCTATTCAACATAAGAGCCTCTGAGGGACATGGTATTTCTTTTTTTCTTCAAATTTCATACTAAAATAGTTATATGCACTGATGCATTATGCCATCATATATATGTTAAGAAGGGATAGGATCCCCGCCTGGAAAAGAAAGACATACCCGCGAATATGGCTAATGACTGGGATAACACCTGCTTGGACTGAACAATCAGCACCAGTGTATCCGATTTGGCACGTACACGTCCCCTCGTGACATGTTCCACGTCTGCTACATTGATTTGGACACAGGTGAGTTGTGACGTCAGCCGGTGGAATTCTCATTCCATGCGACCCGATGGCGTAGACACTGACGTCTCGAAGAACAGTGTCTTGACATTGGAAATCGAAAGCATTCATGTAGCCAATGTTAAACATGTCACTGTCTGAAACCTGAAACCAAAACAAGTATAACACAATAAAAACTTGCTTAAACAAATATATAGAGGATATCTAGTAGTTTTTGTTTTGTATAATAACAATTGATGAAGATAACGGATAAGTTCTATAGTCGCCTTCGTGGTTTCCATCGGAAATTAATAAAAATCTTAGGCTATGTTAGGGTTATGATTTTTCTTATTTTGCTCATTAGTGTGAGCTGTGATATCGAAGTCACTACCCCGGTTCCCATAATGAGGGCATGGTATTACATGGATTTGACATAGATTTGCATGGCGGGTGACATCAATGAAGCAGAAGACGCTTATCCTTCTGGACATTCTTTTAATTTCATTGTACTTTTTCAAGGTCTCCATGAGAATCTATCTGTCGCTTTGCACATATTCTGTCCCCAGTTTCATCGGTTTTAAGGTCGAGCTATGGTATTGTTTAACCTTTTGTATTATCTTGCTTTTATGATATAACACTGCTTACATGTTTTATCAAAAGACGGACTTGTAAAGTTAGCATTTTTGTTGTTGACCTAAGCGATCTTCATCTTCAGGTATACGTGTACTTGATTCTATGAAGGATGGCTGATAAACGACACTATTAAAGTTTATCGAATATATAGTTTTGTAAAAATAGAAATAATAACAGACACCCAGCGATATTATCTAAATCTTCGATACGAGAATCGTCGAAATCGGATTTTGACATTATTTGTCAGTGTCATAGGATTTCTGAATAGTAAAAAGAGGGTTACGAACAGCGCTTGGCGCCGAATTATATCAAAAAGGGGTTACGGACAGCGCTTGGCGCCGATTTATATAACGAAAAAGGTTACGGACAGCGTTTGGCGCCGAATAATAACAAAAAGAAGGGGTTACGAACAGCGCTTGGAGCCGAATTATATCAAGCAATTGAAAACAGCAATATTTGATGCGCCGTGCGAATTATAATCACTTGTATTGTGTTTTGTTATTTAATGTCAACTTTTTACCGTACCAACAGCTTATTTGTTTATGGTATACATAGTTAGACCATATCATATTGAACTCATATTACAACATGTATTACAGGAAGCCAATATGATAGAGATTATCGGTAGATCTCTATTTGTACCTAAATGCAACAGTTCAAAGAAATTGACCACCCTAGATGTGAAACAGCAGTCGATCGTAGCGACTAATATAAAATGGTAATATAGTTTCCATTACTTGGTGTGAAGTTAGCACGTTTATTTTGGTTCCAATCCCAACTGTCCATACTATCATTTTACTTTGCTTTGCTCACAATGTTTTATTTTTATTTTATATATAAGTGTTGAAATACTTAACGAGTGCGTTTCAAGTGGTAATTATTTTATCATTGGTTATATTCAAGGCTTCAAGGCCATTTTTGTCCTCTTACATGTAATCAAATTAAATGTCACTTTTCAGCAAACAAAATCAACAACAAACACATTTACTTATGCATTTTACATTGTCCTTAATACTTACTCACCAACCTATACCATTTATCTGCAGAGGAGATACTACGAGTCCACGGAACATCTACAGATACGTGTGCCCGGAAGAAATACAAAAACTGTTTACACTATCTACTGCCTATAAGTTACAGTAAATACTGGCAATTGGTAATCATTTGTTGGATTTATTATGGGAAACTATATATTATAAGGAAAAAGTACACCACCGTTCAACTTGAACAAACATCACATTGATTTTGCCTTACCATCATATCTTCGACGCACGCGTGAATCAACCTATTAACGAACACCGCGGGCATCACGGATTGACACCTGGTAGACAACATGGATTCTCTGATAGTGTCCGTACAGGTCTTTCTTGCCATGTCTTCAGTCATTCCACTCCTAGTCACTGCTGTTCTCTGCTTCCTCTTGATGGTTACTTCGTAATTAAACAAATAATGTCATAACAATACAGCCCGGATTTTCCCTATTAATAATGCACACATTTTAAATAAAAAATTACCTTTTTATTATCTACAGTATATCATGTTTTGTTTTACAGAAATCAAGTCCGCGAGAGTTACAAGTAAGTCAATAAGAATGTTTTAATCAGTCTCCCTGCCTAGGAAATGCGGGTAAAATTAAAAAAATATTTAAATTCTTGGCATATCTCACACGAAACCAAAAAAATGTTCACAAAATATTGGAAAAGATGTAAAAAAATAAGTAATTTCGAGTCAGATAATCAAAGTGTGAAGGATTCAAATAATGGAATAAAGGATGTGGTATATCAATACAGGATGGCAGTAAATAGTAAAGAACATGTTGTTGAGTGAGAGTTATAATAGCCCATCGCTTATTCATATATTTCAATAAAAATGTATAAAAAAAGCAGAGGAATGCTTGAACAATATAAGTCCCTTACTGGCTACCATTAGCAGTATAAAAATAAGTAACGATGACCTTGACCCAACAGCCCTGAAATTGAAACTTATCATATATTATGGTCCTTAATTAGTGTTTCAAATCGATGGAAATCCTTCAAGGAATGAAGCTGCTACAGCGCAGACAATGATTTAAAAAAAATAGTACAGTGACCTTTACCAGACATTCCTTCAAACCAAAACTGTCCCGTAAGTTTATGGGAAAGTTTACGATTAATTTAAAAAAAAAATATGGTTATATAGATAATATAAATAGATAATTATGATATTATTATTACAATTTGTTATTATCATGATTAATTATACAAAAAATTAAAACGAGGTTAAAGACCAATATAATTATTCAGTTTCTGGTTAATGTAATAATATGTATATACGGTTTTAACTTTTGATGTTCAATGTGCTATATTCACGAAGCACTTGTATTATACTTATAAGGCAATTATCTAGAGACTGTATTGGGAAGCTATCTACGAACTCGTTAGGCACAGTCTCTATCGCATTGGGAAGCTATCTATAAACTCGTTAGGCACAGCTACTGACGGCTACTTTAGTATAAGTCAACATTCTCTTTCACTTGGAAACTTTCCATTTATCAAGGACAGTTGAGCATGAAACTACGCAATCATGGACAAGGGGAGTAAACTCTTACACACACACTTTAGAGTATTGGAATACGAGGCGTAGTGATTTGAACCAAATATAGTTCGGAACTTTCACTGATTAAAAAACGCCACTGTTAAAGATCTTTACATATTTTCTTTGATTTATTTTGTCTGATGGGTTTTTTGTGTGAAGAAATTATTCGGTCCGAAAATCGTAGTAATCTGAGATTGATATAATTCATGATGCTCACCGAAAAACCTCGCCTTTTCCTAAGATTTTAACATTTTCTCTTTGATTTATTGATCGTTTTCAGATGTATTTCAACATTTTATACCATTAATCACAACATGAAATAATCAACACAGCATTTAAAGATCTTCTGTTGTTTGGTTTTGATTTGAATGCTGTACACAGCATCCAATAATCCGATACATTAACATTTCAATAATACGATACATGGATACACAACCAGGGATAACAATTTGTGAACGGCTATGAGACGACCGACGAACTAGGTTGTGATAAAGCGGTATTTAAGAACTTCGAATTATTATTAATTAATATACATATACATTTCACGAGCAAGGAAGAATATCAATGTTTTTCTTGAGTGCAAAACACGAGAGAAACAATTGGAATTTTCTGCCTTACAAGTGGAATACATAAGGTATTCAAATGGAAATTATATTTTTTTTTTGTTTATTACAAAATTGAAGTGCAACGTCGCAAAATATATGGCGAAATATTACTGCATTAGCAGTACAAAAACATCGTTCCCATAAGTCAATATAAATCGATGTTGAATATATATGCAAAAGTTGGCGTAACTCTTGGAGTATCGAAGATGCTAGGAAGTGCAAACTACACTAAAGATTTTTCATATCGGTGTCACAGAAACTTATGGCAATTGTTGAACGATTGTCACATATATTTGTGTTAGTTACCATATCAGTATAACAAAAAAGTAGGGCAAATATTATACTAGGTTACAAATGATATAGCAAATATCAGTCTCACACCGCTCCAGATTTAAAGAGTTTTGACTTTAAGTGCAACACATCAGCCTTTAAGCTTGTTTAAAGCTTACCTTGTTTTAAATTTCGTCTCATTCGCGTTTCTTTTGGGTAATCTTGGTGACCACGTGGTTGTCCCCATTGAAATGTTCCAGTGTGGCGACGTGGCTTTTTACCAACATTCTGGAATAATTCTTAATTGTATCATAAACATTATTCTCACAGCAAATACATATTTCTCATTTTAAGTTACAACTGTAGACAATAATTTCTGAACATATCTGTTTTAGGTATACAGATTCTGATGTTTGACTTGATAGTGATATTCATATATTTACGGCATCAATACTTCATTCTCAAATAAAGTTCATGGCAAACATCATTGACTGACAATGAATAGATTAAAACAAAAAATGTAATGTACAAGATGAAGTGTTGGTTACAAGTAAAGTAATACGTAAGATGAATAGTAGGATACAATATGACCGCATGACTACGTGTTCAAGTTTAATGACAATGGTAGTAAAACACATCTTGTCTTAATTAGCGCCCGGTATCGGAGATAAGGGTGCCCTATAATGATCACTCTGTCTGTTCGTCCGCCTGTCTGTCCGTCCGTCCACAAATTTTGTTCCTGACTAATAACTTTGGTATTAATTGACCGATTTACATGAAATAACTAGGTCAAGATGAGGTAAAAAGCCAAGGTCATAGGTCAAGGCATAAGGTTCAAAGGTCCAGGTCAAATTTTGCATCTTTTCACTGAGCATTTTGTTATGACATGATGAAGCAAAGTTGATCAGAATTAAACAAGGAGTCAACTGACCGAATGTCAAAGTCATCGGGTCAGAGGTCTAGGTCAAAGGTCATGGTCAATGTTTGTAGCTTTTCACTAATTAGCATTTAATGACATTATGAAGCAAAGTTGGTCGGCATTAAACAAAGAGACACACTGAGATAAAAAGCCGAGGTCAAAGGTCAAGGTCATAAGGTTCAAATGTCAAGGTCAATTTTTAGCATCTTTTCACTTATGAACATTTTGTTATGACATGATGAAGCAAAGTAAAGTCAACTGACCGAATGGTCAAGGTCATAAGGTTCAAATGTCAAGGTCAATTTTTAGCATCTTTTCACTTATGAACATTTTGTTATGACATGATGAAGCAAAGTTGATCAGAATTAAACAAGGAGTCAACTGACCAAAGGTCAAGGTCACAGGGTCAAAGGTCAAGGTCAAATTTTGTAGCTTTTCACTGATGAGCATTTAATGACTTTATGAGTCAAAGGTGGTCGGAATTAAACAAAGAGTCAATTGACCAAAGGTCAAGGTCACTGGATCAAATGTCAAGGTCAAATTTAGGATCATTTCACTGGTCGCATTTCGTTATGACACTTTGAAGCAATGTTGATCGGAATTAAACAAGGAGTCATTTGACCAAAGGTCAAGGTCAGATTTTGTATTTTTTCACTGATGAACATTTTGTTATGACATTATGAAGCAAAGTTGGTCGGAATTAACCAAGGAGTCAACTGACTTAAGGTCAAGGTCACTGGGTCAATGTCAAGGTCAAATATTGTATCTTTTTACTGATGAACATTATTTTTATTTTTTTATGAAGATGTTCAGAACTTAACACGGAGTCAACTGACCTAAGGTCCAGGTGACGGGGTCCAAAGGATTAAGGTCAAGGTCAAGTGTTGTATTTTTCACTGATTAACATTTTGTTATGACATTATGAAGCTAAGTTGGTCGGAATTAAAGAATGAGTCAACTGACCAAAGATCAGGGTCACATGGTTAAAGGTCAATGTCATTTGGGTCCAAAGGTCAAAGACAAAGTTGATCTCTGACTTTGACCCTGGCTATTGATGGAGGATGTATTTATGGTGAAATAAAACATATCAAAGCTAACAAATGAGTATTGCATCGGTATTTACATTTCTGTTAGCCCAGCAAATATGGAGATGGAAGAAAAAAGACTCACATCATAGTACATGTAAAATGTATATTTTGCTTCCTTGCGATTCTTTTTGAAGTCCAAATGTCAGACGTCAAGCTCAACTATATGGGGGATATATTGCCACAAGACGGGTCCCTTACTGACCTGTCAGTGTTCTAGTTTCATTCTGTACAATTATAGATGTGTTCCTTTGCTAAGTTGTAAGTGTGAGATGATAAGTGCAATATTCAGATTGAAGCCTGTACGACATGATTACTTGAACACATCATTTCAAACACGCGCAAGAGGATGATGAGTAATGTAATGTGACTCGCACTGTGCTGAGGTATGTTTGAATATATTATGACTAAAAATGTACAAATACAATACAGTGTACTTGATTACAATATTGCTTATTCATGTGCAGGACTTATATTTGAATAAAATATGACCTCTATCTGTGTGAGAAGATCGGTTTTATACATTAAGACTAAATGTGGATGAGAATAAATTGAAAAAGTGTTTTGGTGTGTGTTTGTGTTAATAGCTGTTAATAAATGGAATAGAATATTTTGACTTATATTTTGACTATATATATTCAGAATTACTAAAACACCGACAGGAGTAAAGTTAAATGCAAATATGAATAGTTCTGTGCGAGGCATCAGTTGAATATGCTATGATTTAATGACCAATTGTGTAAGTTGAATGCAATACAAAAAACACGTAGCTTCCACAGAGGTTTGTGGATATATAAGAATACTACCTGTGCGAGGGGATTAGTTGCCTTAGATTTTGTACATATCCCCTGGGAGGTTGTGCTGTCACACTGGCAGAAGTTGACGTTGTTGTGATCGAAGGCGGTAGAACGTAGAGGAGGGTTATCAAATAAACTATAGCCCGGCTGTACCCTGGAGAAAACATTCCAATTCCGTCACATACAGATGAATAATATTTACACAATAATACTTAATACGAAACTCCAAAAATCTTTTGTAATGATGATAGAAAAAAATGCAATCGAATACATGTAAAGTTGAAACGTTGTATTACTAAACATAAACAACATAGCGTAATTAAATTCCGTGCCTTTCATTCGACTTTTTGTGTGATACCATAACCTTTTGTATTAATGCCATAGTCATATCTTCATGCTACTCTTTCTATTGACCTTGCCATTGTATCGTTGATTTTGGTGTATGTCTGTCGTAGGGATATAGCTCTAGTGCGCTAATGCTTTGGACATTAAACACAAAAATAAAACTTCTCTTGTATCTAGTACGTCCTTAAATTAAGAGTGCATTTATTAAGTCGAATGACGTCATAACGATGTTTGTGACGGTTTTGCGTCTTCTGTCGTTTGTTTTTTGCCTTAATTATCACTTCCGTGTCAGGGAGTCTAGTGGTAGGACGCCGGGCTCGTGACCGAAGGGTTGCGAGTTCGACTCTCGTCACGGCATTTTGTTGTATCTTTGAGCAAGATACTTTACTCCACTTGTTGCAGTCTACTCAGCTGTAAATGAGTACGTGGTTGGGTAGTGCTAGAATTGTAGAATACTAGCTGTGAGCGCCGAAATGGCAGCGCCGGCTGTATGCTCCCCAGGGAGTTGAGAACGATATTGGCTGGTTGCAAAGGCCCTATAACCACGGATAATAATTTGTGAACAGCTTTGAGACGACCTACGAACTAGGTTGTGATAAAGCGGTATATAAGAACCTCGAATTATTATTATTATTATTCCGGTGTCTTTGTTTAGGCAATAGACTTAAGGATCCCCGTACCACTGGCTGCATCTACGTATTGGAATGGTATTTTTTTGGAAATTAAATAGGTTTGATAAATGATTTCTGAAAAGAAAACCACACTGCGCGGTTTTTATGAGAAATAATACAGATAAAATACACACTATATAATCAACAAACGTGTTTTGAGTTTGGAAATCTCGGCGGGGTTAGACCGGCATTCGAACACTCGTCACTTCAGATACATGTAGTTAAACTATCGGTCTAACCGACTAAGCTACCTGTTCAATGGAATTGTCCTGGCCCACCTGTGCTTCAATTATAAGTAAGTAAAAGGCGAAGTAAAAGGGAAGTTACCATGTATACGAAAAATATAGTGGAGTGGGACAAGAACCCTTTAATATATATCATTTATGATTGAAGTATACGCTTTGTACTTCAGAATCAATTCAGAAAAGTGTTTCGAAAAATTAATTAACTATTGCGAAGATATATACCATTTTCCCTAGCAAAGCAAACGCCCCACATCATTATAACATAGGGATGAAGTGCGAACTAAACGTAGAAAGAAACGACATGGAAAGTCCAAAGTTGATGCGTTTGACGAGATTAACGTTGTTTAAATGAAACTCCTAATTATTAAGCAATGTAATTTGGAAAACGACTTCCTTTTTGTTTATACAAAATATCTAAAAAATAAATAAATGTAACTTACATCCATGAATTGGCAAAATCGGTAGAGTTTGGATGTTGCAGTCCATCACTCCCTAACCTGTCATTTTTCGGATTGCCATCATATGTTCCACATATTCCTTCCGAATTCCCGAAGTCATCTGTCGGCACTTTAAGGTATACATTCAGATAGCCATTCTTCTCTGTATGATGCCTTCTATCATACAAAGCTGCCGTTACCTTGAGGCTAGCACCAGATGGAAAATTGATCTGAATCATCATAAATCACATAGGAAAATCAGAGATTAACACTCGACAAATACTTTAAAAATACAGCGTTGGTTGTGTCTTACGTATAATATTCTTGTCAAAAGACAGCGACTAAAACATATACACGTCATTATATTTATATCATGATAGGTGATACGTCGAACAAAACTGAATTTTTCTATAATATGTTTTAGAAAAAAAATCAAAACATATTGAAGAAATTATGAAAAAGGATTATTATACCGAAGCATCAACAAAACAGTCAATTGAACTTAAAAATCGATAAAACTAGGGCAAAATACGGGCCTGGAGAGACATAAAGGGAGACTTCTGATAGATACAAGAATAATAAGGCTAGGTGTTCCTTGTGATCTGCGTTTGGACCTAACTGGACATGTATCCTGATATCAAATTAAATAAAACATATGATAATATTGCAAAAAAGACGGTAGTGATATTTGATAAGCGGTGATAGTTATTTCACGTAAGAAATTGCTCTTGCTGAAATTTGTTATTTCCATTTGGCTTTACCATGGAGCATTCATGTGTTGTGTTTGTTTCATGAATAAACATCAGACACAGCATTTGACCGCACTTATGAGATCTGGTAATATATAAGGTATGTCAAAATGAATCAAACTGCACGATACAGCTGTTCGCCTTCCTCGAACTCATCGGTAATGCTAAGGGCAAAAAAAGAATGGAAATCCAACTTTCATCTATTGTAGCAACAGAAGAGGAAGTTACCTGAAAACCCCTGGCTTATATTAATTTCAAATATGAGAGGAGTAATGAACAATTCCAAATTCCTAATGTGTAAAGTATGTATATTATGAACATTGCCAATCCCTGAAATAGAAAACATATGGTCATCAAGGTAAGCTTTCAGCGATCTTTATTTACAACATGCCCAACAAGTACGGCTTACTAATACGCTGTGCGTGATTGGTTTTAATATTCAACCACCTCGCATAACACGAGAGCATAAGTTGCAATTATTTCGGTGTCGCTACGCTGTTTAGAAGTATAATTTATACAAACGACACATTTACTTCAATATAACAAATACTAATGAAAAGTTCTATTAAGATCACTAATAAACCCCGACAAGACATGCAAATACACGTCGATTGAGGAGGAGACAAGACAAATAAACGTTCATGAAGATCCATACACATACGTGTCCCTGGCGAGGAATAAACTAATACATCCTTGGCGAAACATGAAAATACATACCTCTAGCAGGGCATACAAATAAATCTCTATATCGTGACAAACATACGCACACATTCCTGGCGGATCATATAAATCAATATTAGCGACATTTATACAAATGCACAGTTTTAGGGGCATATAATTCAACACTCTTGCGTGTTTGTTCTTTATGCATTTGGATCCGTCTCAATGACTCTATGATTCAGATTTGAATTTTACTTACGTTAAAGGCTTTGCCAGAGGCATCGGGATCGATTGTTGTCCCGCCAGTAAATGGTCCAGAAGGATATGTGACGTCGGGAGCAACCAATTGGTTCTTCGTTCTAGCACACATATCAACCTGTATAAAGTCATTTCCCTCACGTGCAGCTACTGCACAAATACATGGATGATAACTTCCACATGCCCAAGTTGTTATTTCGACCTAGAAATTAAGTTGATCATATATTATTCTTTTCAGTGAACTTGTATATAATAAATGTATAATATTGATACTAATATGTTTGTCCTTGAAAATCATAGTGAGGCTTTAATTGAAAACGTGAACGTGACTGTTAAAGTAACTTATATTACCTCAAATGGTCTTGTTTTGCTTTTGTATAAAACCGAATTCCCTACTGTGTAAATGTCCACAGTTCTGAAATTACAAAACAAACTTTTCATCATGTTAAACAAACATTTAAGTTCTTTCCTTTAAAGATATTCAACACTAGACAAATGAATCAGACCTATAATAAGGTTGACAAATTATAACTGATTTGAATGATAACATACAAAATAATAAAAGGTTAATAGACACCGATTGCTTCTAAAAGATAATTGTTATAAGATTAATAAATCGAAATGAAAAACGGTTTATTTTGGTCATTTTTTCGATAATACATTACATTAAACACACTTATATTTCAGTCACACATTCCCTGTTCACACCCATTTTCTTTCCTTGCTTTGCCACTTTTTTGCATTCTCAAATGTTATTTAAATTGAGGTACCATTTTAGAATTAAAATTATTATCCCAGACATATATTTTCAGATACTTCGTAACTCCATCAACAAATTAACCAAATCTCATTGAATAATGTTTCATGTATACATTGTTGGTATGGAACAAAGAAAAACAAAAACAGTTTGAACTTGTTGAACTTGTTGGACTTGATAAATGAAGTATACTATACTGTTTAAGAGGAAGAAAGAAGATGATAGAGGCGTAAGAAATGAGAGGGACGAGAAAAAAGGGAAGGAGAATGAGATGTTCAATTTCGTATCTAAATTTTGTATGTAAATTACATGAACTAATACCAGGGATTACATTCGTACTGTTATTACAATTAGTTTACATTTCAGTTACGTTACATGCAGTAATCATTCCCATTTTTCCATTCTCATTAAAATTAAAGAGATAATTTTCACCATTACCTGAAGCAATGTATTTTGAGTATTATTAATGTCTTAAATTTGATTTACCACAGCTGAACTGTTGTTTTTGGCGTCTTTTTAAAAAGGGGAAATAAAAAGATGTGTTTATATGCAAAATGATCAGGAATTGTGTGGTCAACATTTCGATACTTTACAGCATAATTTATAACATTTTGGAAATATGCCAACTCACCTGTTATTGTCTATTTGGGTCACATGGGGATCTCCCAAAGCAGTGCAAATTCCGTGAGGTCTATCCTTTGATCTTATCTATATTAAAAAATAATAACAAAAGCAAAGTTATACTTTCGTTTCTGCAATATGTGTAATAGAGGTATAACATGTTATCATATGGAATCATTAGCGGCTACCTATATGTGCATCTTATAAATAAGATCAGCCACAACAATATATCAATTTGATCTTTACCAGAGTTCAGTAATAGAGCATTGATTTAGGCCTAACTTTATCTAACGAGAGCAATAAAATATTGAGTTGAGTTCTACTTTACCTTACGTCAGTTATACAATAATGAGCTGAGCTTTACAGTAAGTATTGATTGGATAATCCATTTATGTTTGTATTAATTGGAGAAAAAAGTTGAACACATCTGCATGCGGAATTACCTGGATTGGAGAAACATTGTAGCCGTACCACATCGTATTGAATCGATATAGTGGACGGAAGGCTAGCACGTGCTGCTGGTCACCATCTTTTACAAAATCACGTGTAGCTATGACCTTGATAGTGGTTGAGTACTTGTGGGTGGTTGGGTCGCATTTCAGTTCGTAGACACAAGCACTTGTCGACACATCTACGTAAAACGTTGGGGGAAAAGTCAGGCTATGAACAAAATAGCAGTAATAATGTCTTGCTTACAGTTTTCACCCGTCTATATTAATTGGACTTTAACGATTGAAGATGGGTTTACGTTGATCTTTACATAAAACTTTCATAAAAATCCTTTTCTTGAAAATTTTAATAGCAAAATCCGTGGAGTCAATATTTCCCGGTGTCTTAAATGTATGCCCGAAATAAATATGGACGAAGTAGCCCCTTTCATTAAGGAACAATGATTCCAAAATCTTTAAATTTGACAATGACATAAATATAAATGGTCAAATATAAATTAACAAGGCTAACAAATCTTGTGAAACTTAGATAACATAGTAAAAACAATGTCCAGAACATAAAAAGTAATCCGAATTAAAGAATTAATCGTGATCCCGTCAACAAACTTAACATTCAAGTCATCTACAAACTTTCTTTGGGTAATGGCAACATATACACTCACACCAATGTTGATGAAAATCCATTCATAAATAAAATAGATAGTCTGTTACCGTTTGGGTCTAAAGTAGAGTTCATTTCTATTTGAAAAGAACAAGTGCTCAGGACGGGGCTGTTGCATGGGATAGGAACGGTCGATTCTATGGTGATCTCCTGTTCGTTTCCTTTCTCATCCACTATGACGGAATTGTTGTATTTCTGAAACAGACACGGATATTTGACAATGTGACACTTTCGGTAACCCAAATTACTGACGTCTTTCCGGAGTCTCGCTGTTCTTATTACATTCTTCGGTATTTTGCCTTAATAACTCCCTTATCTTTCTGAATGTAACCTTAGTTTTATGTTGTGGAAATGCAACCGTTATGTGTTTTTTTTAATCATTTTCTTCATACCTTATAGACTTCATAGTGTATAATCCTCCTTAATACTCTCACTTTCGTTCTCTGCAACCCTGTAATATGTCATGGCGATCGCTCAGTGTGTACCATGTGGATGAGACGAGAAAACTAGTTGGAGTTTTCATAATTATCATTTCTCATAATCTATTGGGCGCGTAACAGTGAAATTGACTGGCTTTGAAGTTTGGTGTCCGCTCCTCGGTTTTATTCACAAGACAAGTAGCAGCTTCACGATTTCTTAGGTTTTTGTTTATATCTGAGACCAATCAAATATCTAGCCGCTTACCTTTTAATTTGGTATCACATATTTCAGGGGTGCAGAGAGCAGTTGAGTATTGGGGTTGAGTATGTATTCAAATATTCAATGACTTTTCATCTGAATATATTAAGTCCAATTTTTTAAAGTCCAATTTATTTAAACGTTAAGTAGCTGTTAATGTTTAGAAGCCGAACTGATAACAATAATTTTGGTCATTTGTGCTGGTTCAGAAAGTATAGCAACCTATGAGAAACAGTTCAAATATATTCTTTAGTATAAGAAGATTAATCAATACAATTCTAAAACCATCCTATATCAATATATGGCAAAACATCGATAACTTCCAAATCAAGCTTATTGAATTCTAAATCAATTAGATGTAAGTTTCTACCTGCGTAAAGTAGCATAAATGAGTTGTCAGTAGGCACAAATTACTGTAACAAGAACAGGATAAATTTAATTTTCTTTATTTCAAAATTTATAAATAGTTTTTACTCTTTATACAAGTGCTTACCCGTAATCCAACCCAGAAACTGTTACTTCTAAGCGTGTCACTCCTAGGCCCATGGTTGTTGTTGGTATAATACGATCGAACTTCACACTGGAGCTACAAAAATGATAGAAAACAAAGGAATAGGTTACATGTATGTGTACAAAAAAGTATTGTCGTAGGATGTGATAAACGATATAATACAATAGGATTGAGATCTTATTATTGTGACAACTTAGAATGTATGGTAAGACTGATGGTGTAACATAACGTGCAACAACACGATATAATACAATAGGAGTGAGATCTTATTATTGTGACAACTTAGATTGTATGGTAACACTGATAGTGTAACATAACATGCAACAACACGATACAATACAATAGGATTGAGATCTTATTATTGTGACAACTTAGATTGTATGGTAACACTGATAGTGTAACATAACGGGCAACAACACGATACAATACAATAGGACTGATATCTTATTTTTGTGACAACTTAGAATGTATGGTAAGACGGATAGTGTAACATAACGTGCAACAACATGATATAATACAATAGGATTGAGATCTTATTATTGCGACAACTTAGATTGTATGGTAACACTGATAGTGTAACATAGCGTGGAACAACACGATACAATACAAAAGGAGTGAGATCTTATTATTGTGACAACTTAGAATGTATGGTAACACTGATAGTGTAACATAACGTGGAACAACACGATACAATACAAAAGGAGTGAGATCTTATTATTGTGACAACTTAGAATGTATGGTAACACTGATAGTGTAACATAACGTGCAACAACATGATATAATACAATAGGATTGAGATCTTATTATTGTGACAACTTAGAATGTATGGTAAGACTGATAGTGTAACATAACATGCAACAACATAATATAGTACAATAGGATTGAGATCTTATTATTGTGACAACTTAGAATGTATGGTAAGATTGATAGTGTAACATAACGTGCAACAACATGATATAATACAATAGGATTGAGATCTTGTTATTGTGACAACTTAGATTGTATGGTAAGACTGATAGTGTAACATAACGTGCAACAACACGATACAATACAATAGGATTGAGATCTTGTTATTGTGACAACTTAGAATGTATGGTAACACTGATAGTGTAACATAACGTGCAACAACACGATATAATACAAATACTACTTCCATGTCTGCTAATTGGTTTTGAGACCTCATATAATGCCTGACCTCATTCGATTTTTACAAGTTTGTTGTCCCTGGAAAATGCAGGTAAATCTGACCCAAATAATTAACTCCTATTTAACTGAAATAGTTCATACTTCAGTGTCTAAGTGCCCTTGCATATACATTTCGTCCAGTGTAGCGTCTCTATCATCGCCAGTCAGAGTCTGCTTAACAGGTACTTGTGTTCCGGGTCGCCTGATAGGAACTCCGTCTACTGTCCATGTTACCTCAAAGGCTACATTCGGCACTCCCTTTGGGTAAGGGATATGGCATGGAAACTTTACAGCACCCTTGCAGTCACAGGAAAAACATTTAATCCCGTTGGAATCGACGTAGGGTTGATCGATAACGGGAGAATGCGTCATTTTGGGGTAGAGCTCTTTAAAACAAAAAAAGAAAAGTTCTTGTGAAAATTTCCATGGCGGTGTAACGGGCCTGTCTACATTTCTTAAATGATATGTGAACTGTGGTTATATAACCTACAAATCCCTGTTTGATGATGGAATGTCTCAGGACTGTGAGCCGATTTGTCATGTTGGAGCCGTAGCACAGGCTATACACTAATGATGGATACTTCCCGTTCGGGTCTATTGTGAGGACACAGGTAACGTGCGTTCTCATCCACACTTTAGCTAAGCAAATGGAATTCACAACAACTTTCAGTTTTCTGTCAAGGTTAATTGCGGAACGGAGAAGTGTTTAAGATAACCAAAATCTTTGTCCAGACACTCTTATCTAAATATCTGATCATGCAATAGTGTTCTGGTAATTGTCAGTAATTCTAAATTGGAAATAAAATCGGGTTATACATGAAAACTTACCCGTACAATTAGGCGAGCCTATGTTAGATTGTCCAATAGGACAGACTTGGGCATGGCCTGAAATACATAACGTTAAACAGTTAAACGTGAATGAAAAAGTTTTTCTTTATTCGAGTTTTTATGCTGCCAGGCATGATATATATAAATGATATTTAATAAAAGTCTGCCTTATATCTTACATCTCTATATACAAGAGTACTGTAACTAAGTTTAATTTGGCGTTTAAGTCATAGATTACTTTGATAATTGGTTTATGTTTGTATCTAACTGGTTTTACAGTAATAATCTTTATTAACTAACCTATCATGAACGCACTTGTATATATGCTTATATATGTTATGTTCAAGTGTATTGAAGGAAAATAAACATTCTCATCTAACTCAATCCAAGTTCTCAATTTCAATGTACGTCCTGATTACAAACACGATCTAAAACAGGGTATAATTACATGATACAATAGAACAATACCTCACCGGCACAATAGGCCATGTTACACGCCCTGGTTCTTGCGAGGTGATACACGTTATAACTCCCACAGTTCTTCACTTGTATTTGTTGAGATACGTGACAGCAAGCTGATCCTCCGTACGGGGTGGGATCAACGCCTTTGCCGTAGTTGTAACATGCCTGTAGAACGGCAGTGCTGCCTTGGACTGTTGGTAGCTGACCGTTTAACCATATAGGAACCTGAGTCCCACAATGAAAAGTTGGCACACAAGACGTTGGCATATCGCCATTTGTAAATCGGTACCAATCGCTCGGTAATGCTCTATCGCAGATGAGTTTATCATTCCCTTCTGGCACGGATAAGGTACTTCTATGTTGCTCAGATATAATAATGTAAGAAGTGCATTCATCAGCTGAACATGCGGCGACTATGGTTTAAATAGAAAATAAATGAATGTGGCGTTGATATAACCTATAATTCATTTATGGTACAAAGATTATATTTTATGTGTTTATAGTTTGTGATTACTGTAAAAACAATCACAAACCAACACCACAAATGTAAAATCAGTAAAACCAACGGAATGGGTAGGCCAAAGAGAAAGAACGCATTTATGCTGGTTATAATTTTGTTGGCGTGTTCAATAAATTATTATTTACATAAGAATGACCAAGATTTGGCAGTAGATTACTAACTGTAAGAGTGGGAACATGTTACATTATGCTTTAACTTTAATGGAAATTGACTAACAAAATATAACAAACTGGAACGTCCTTGAGCAATATTTCCAATTCGATAAACGTCATGAGACTATTTCGCATGAAACTAAAATATCTGAAAAAAAACCCACCAACATCAACAACAAAAATAAAACATTAAAGCAGAAAGCCCACTTACTTGCCACAAGACAGAACACAACCGTCGAAATCACCATCCTGGAAGGCAGTTACGTGCATGCCCTCCTCACATCAGATATTTAACCATGAAGATAAGAGCGCACTTTGTGAACTTTGCCACATTTGTCCTTATTCTTTATCTACCAAAAGGAATATTTGCCAAGTGTAAATGATACATACCTTTATGTGTATAGTCGTAAAAAAACCCTTCTGCGACTGTTGTATATATCATAACAGCAAATAATGCATCTAATCGGGACTCTCGACTATTTTTATCAAACAAATGACTGTCATTAAAAAGAATATATATAAAACAAATGTCTGCTAGTGGCTGTAATATAATCATACTAAGAACTGTACCATTGTCCCTTCGGTAAAACAATTACTCAAAACCAGTTGTAAAATAAATTCGGAATACCTTCATACCTGTTCTTTTGTCACTGTGGTCAAACATACGGCGAATGCGTTCATCCAGTACTGTTGTCACTGTGATCAAGCAACGCTGAAAACTTCATACCTGTTCTGTTGTCACTGTGGTCAAACAAACGCTGAATACCTACATACCTGTTATGTTGTCACTGTGGTCAAACATACGCCTAATACGTTCATCCAGTACTGTTGTCAATGTGATCAAGCAATGCTGAATACTTCATACCTGTTTTGTTGTCACTGTGGTCAAACAAACGATGAATTTCTACATACCTGTAGTGTTGTCACTGTGATCAAACAAACGCTGAATACCTACATACCTGTTATGTTGTCACTGTGGTCAAACAGACACCGAATACGTTCATCCAGTACTGTTGTCACTGTGATCAGGCAACGCTGAATACTTCATACCTGTTCTGTTGTCACTTTGGTCAAACAAACGCTGATTACCTACATACCTTTTGTGTTGTCACTGTGGTCAAACATACCCCGAATACGTTCATCCAGTACTGTTGTCATTGAGATCAAGCAACGCTGAATATTTCATACCCTTTTGTGTTGTCACTGTGGTCAAACAAACCATACAAATATTCATACCTGTTCTGTTGTCACTGTGGTCAAATATACGGCGAATACGTTCATCCAGTACTGTTGTCATTGTGATCAGGCAACGCTGAATACTTCATACCTGTTCTGTTGTCACTTTGGTCAAACAAACGCTGAATACCTAATTAGCTGTTATGTTGTCACTGTGGTCAAACAAACCATACAAATATTCATACCTGTTCTGTTGTTACTGTGATCAAACAAACGCTGAATACTTTCATACCTGTTCTGTTGTCACTGTGGTCAAACATACGCCTAATATGTTCATCCGGTACTGTTGTCAATGTGATGAAGTAACTCCGAATACTTCATACCTGTTCTATTGTCACTGTGGTCAAATAAACGCTGAATACTTCATACCTGTTCTGTTGTCACTGTGGTCAAACATACGGCGAATACGTTCATCCAGTACTGTTGTAACTTTGATAAAGTAACGCTGAGTACTTCATACCTGTTCTGTTGTCACTGTTGTCAAACATACGGCGAATTCGTTCATCCAGTACTGTTGTCACTGTGATCAAGCAACGCTGAATATTTCATACCTGTAACGTTGTCACTGTGGTCAAACATACGGCTAATTCGTTCATCCAGTACTGTTGTCACTGCGATCAAACAACGCTTACTACCTACATACCTGTTCTGTTGTCACTGTTGTCAAACATACCGCGAATTCGTTCATCCAGTACTGTTGTCACTTTGATAAAGTAACGCTGAGTACTTCATATCTGTTCTGTTGTCACTGTGGTCAAACAGAATACTTCATACCTGTTATGTTGTCACTGTGGTCAAACAAACGGCGAATACGTTCATCCAGTACCACCTGTTCTGTTGTCACTGTGGTCAAACATCGGCGAATACGTTCATCCAGTACTGTTATCGCTGTGACCAAGCAATGCTGAATACTTCATACCTGTGTGTTGTCACTGTGGTCAAACATACGGCGAATACGTTCATCCAATACTGGTGTCACTGTGATCATGCAACGCTGAATACCTACATACCTGTTCTGTTGTCACTGTGGGCAAACATCGGCGAATACGTTCATCCAGGACTGTTATCGCTGTGACCAAGCAATGCTGAATTCTTCATACCTGTGTGTTGTCACTGTGGTCAAACATACCCCGAATACGCTCATCAAGTACTGTTGTCACTGAGATCAAGCAATGCTGAATACTTCATACCTGTGTGTTGTCACTGTGGTCAAACATACCCCGAATACGTTCATCAAGTACTGTTGTCACTGAGATCAAGCAACGCTTCATACCTGTTCTGTTGTCACTGTGGTCAAACATACCCCGAATACGTTCATCCAGTACTGTTGTCACTGAGATCAAGCAATGCTGAATACTTCATACCTGTTCTGTTGTCACTGCGGTCAAACATACGGCGAATACGTTCATCCAGCACTGTTGTCATTGTGATCAAGCAACGCTGAATACCTACATACCTGTTCTGTTGGCACTTTGGTCAAACAAACGCTGAATACTTCATTCCGGTTCTGTTGTCACTGTGATCAAGCATACGGCGAATACGTTCATCCAGTACTGTTGTCACTGTGATCAAGCAACGCTGAATACCTACATACCTGTTCTGTTGTCACTTTGGTCAAACAAACGCTGAATACTTCATTCCGGTTCTGTTGTCACTGTGATCAAACATACGGCGAATACGTTCATCCAGTACTGTTGTCATTGTGATCAAGCAACGCTGAATACCTACATACCTGTTCTGTTGTCACTGTGATCAGGCAACGCTGAATACTTCATACCTGTACTGTTGTCACTGTGGTTAAACATCGGCGAATACGTTCATCAAGTACTGTTGTCACTGTAATCAAGCAACGCTGAATACTTCATACCTGTTATGTTGTCACTGTGGTTAAACATCGGCGAATACGGTCATCAAGTACTGTTGTCACTGTGATCAAGCAACGCTGAAAACTTCATACCTGTTCTGTTGTCACTGTGGTCAAACATACGGCGAATACGTTCATCCAGTACTGTTGTCATTGTGATCAAGCAACGCTGAATACCTATGTGGTCAAACAAACCATACAAATATTCATACCTGCTCTGTTGTTCATACCTGTTCTATTGTCACTGTGGTCAAACGAACGCTGAATACCTAATAAGCTGTTATGTTGTCACTGTGGTCAAACAAACCATACAAATATTCATACCTGCTCTGTTGTTACTGTGATCAAACAAACGCTGAATACTTTCATACCTGTTCTGTTGTCACTGTGGTCAAACATACGCCTAATACGTTCATTCAGTACTGTTGTCAATGTGATCAAGTAACGCTGAATACTTCTTACCTGTTCTATTGTCACTGTGGTCAAATAAACGCTGAATACTTCATACCTGTTCTGTTGTCACTGTGGTCAAACATACGGCGAATACGTTCATCCAGTACTGTTGTTACTGTGATCAAGTAACGCTGAATACCTACATACCTGTCCTGTTGTCACTTTGGTCAAACAAACGCTAAATACCTACATACCTATTCTGTTGTCACTGTGATCAGGCAACGCTGAATACTTCATACCTGTTCTGTTGTCACTGTGGTCAAACATACGGCGAATACGATCATCCAGTACTGTTGTCACTGTGATCAAGCAACGCTGAATACTCCATACCTGTTCTGTTGTTACTGTGGTCAAACATACGGCGAATACGTTCATCCAGTACCGTTGTCACTGTGATCAGGCAACGCTGAATACCTACATACCTGTTCTGTTGTCACTGTGGTCAAACATACGGCGAATACGTTCATCCAGTACTGTTGTCGTTCTGATAAAGCAACGCTGAATACTTCATACATGTTCTGTTGTCACTTTGGTCAAACGAACGCTGAATTCATACCTTTTCTGTTGTCACTGTGATCAAACAAACGCTGAATACTTTCATACCTGTTCTGTTGTCACTGTGATCAAACAACGCTTAATACCTACATACCTGTTCTGTTGTCACTGTGGTCAAACATACGCCTAATACGTTCATCCAGTTCTGTTGTCACTGTGGTCAAACAAACGCTGAATACTTTCATATCTGTCTATTGTCATAGCGGTTAAACAAAGGCTCAATATATCAAAGCTTTATTTTATACACAAACAATGTAAATATTAAACGTGTCGCAACGTTTCAAGACCGACTGGTCCCTTTGGTCAAGCTAAGACTGAGTGAGCTATTTGTATGCTAAACCTGGAACGACGATGTGACGAAGTTGTATATTTTTAAGTCATTCGACCCGGGACGTTTCGCCTTTCGACAGGGAGCGTATACGTACTGCATCAGATAGGTTACATGTAAGGTGTAGATCTAGCCCCCTCCCCCGTTATGTCAGTATCGGGTCCTATTTTGGCATTGTTCCCATCGACGATGTGATTGTGTGTGTAAGCGTGATCTGTTAATGCCGGTTTATTGTACTGGGTAGCAGATGTTTTTCGTGTGGATCTTCTGTAGTAAACGTGATGTTGCTCATTTTTTCTACATTCTTTTGCTTTTTTTAGACGTGTACCAAATTTCCTCCTAGATTCTCGTATGTATTACTACTGACAATGCTTTTGCATGGAAATTGATATACAACTCCTGTTTTGTTTAAAATGACAGTCTTGTCTTTTGGGTGCATCAGTAACTGTCTGAGTGTTGTCAGATGTCTCATTGTGTTTCATGGGCAAACGACTCAGATGTCCCCTTCACATAGGTATTGTGACCCAGCCTTTGCATTTGGTTTGACTCTCATTTCTTTTCTTCTGTCTCGGTTTTCTCTTACAGCTCTTTTCACTTCGTTAATTGACCAGTCGGGGTAGCCACAACGGTTGAGTGCGTCTTTTATGTGCTGTTCTTCCCTGTGTCTATCGTCCTGCTCTGTGATGATGATGTTGTTGCAACTGTCGAGGAGGGTGATTACGACTCCAAGCTTTTGGTGTAGTGGATGGTGAGAATTGAAAGCCAACTTTTTTGATCAGTGTGTATCGGTTTGCGGTACACTAATATTTTGTTGGTGCTGTTTTCTTTGGGGACGACGAGCGTGTAAAGAATGGTATGGAAAGAA